TTTTTTTTTTTTGTTGTTGTTGTTGTTGTTGTTGTTCAATTTTTCCTTCCCGAGGAAAGTCAACATGTTGGCTTTTCCTTGTCAAGGAAAAATTGCTCGTGTAAACGCCGCTTTAACGTAACCCGGACACAGTGTGTTCCACGTAGTGGCTGTCGTTATTATTATGATAAAAACAATAACGAAACATGTCTTGATATAGACTCAAAATTGTCGTCTTATTTATTAAAATTATTATATATATTTCAATTAAAATGCTGAAACTGGTTAAAAAAATACGTCATAGATCATAAATTATAATAGCTAAACTTCTTGAACTCGTTGTTGACGTTTATTCACATTGTTACGTTAATTACAAACGAACGAACGAACGGTTCCTAAATGTTACATTACAAAAGTCATTAGACAAATAATACAAAAAATGGGCAAATTACGAAAAACTGAGAGAATACTTACAAGATAGTTTGTCATGAGTTCCGCTGAACGTTGAAGTGAACTGACTTAATTATACTATTTTTCAATGCTTTAAACGATTCGAACAAAAGACCAGAATACATTAAACTTAGGAAAAGATAACAACATTAACAACTATTCGCACCAACATAAATAATACAATKTAATAAGAGAAAAGATGGTCGCTCAATCTGCATGCATTTTATTCAAGTTCTCATCTGGGACAACATTTTTTGTTGGTGGTGATGTTGTTTTTTTCTTGTTATTGTTGTTTTGTTGATGTAATATTTTTGTTGTTTACATTGACTTGTTGTTTTTGTTTTTGTTTTGTTGGTGGTGGTGCCGTTGATGTTGTTGTTCTTTTGTCATTGTTGTTGTTTTGTTTTCTTGTTGTTGTTTTTATGTTATGTTGTTGCTCTTGTTTTGTTGTTGTTTTCTTGTTGATGTTTTGTTATTGTCTTGTTTTGTTGTTGTTGATGTTAATATTGTTTTGTGGTTGTTGTTAATGTYCTTTTGTTATTGTTGTTTTGTTGTTGTTGTTTTTGTTGTTGTTGCAATTAGATGTACATCGACTGATAATATATATATTGTCATTTTTGAACATAAAAAGCATTCACAAAAGCAGCGGCGTATTTGCTAAATATCCTATTTCCTAGCTAATATTAGTGCTAGCTTGTGATCATACCATAGTCATTAAACCAGTCGTGACCCTCAAATATAGAGTTACAATTCTTGTCTATTCCTATCCGTTACGCATTTGATACCTAAAGTCGTCAAAGCATAATAAGGACGTTCGTTTTCTTTTGGTCTTCAAAAATGATGGAAAAAGTCGCTCCTACGCGCTCTTCATCAGTGTTCACCATCGTGGCTTCACTAGCGATGCTGCTTTTGTGTTTTGGAGAATTTGTGCGCATTGAGATCGTCTTAAAAAGGCAAACGAATCGGCTTGATGAATTTGAGAAGTTTACAACCTCAACACAACGTGACAGGAATACC